TACGGTGAAACACCGAAATCTGGAGAATGTCGACTTTCACCGGTGAAAGTCGACATTCTCCAATTTCGGTCATTCACTGTAACAATGACACTCGGTAAAAATGACCGAATTTCCATATAAAGGTTACAAGGTAACATGGCCTCCAGTCCCTTCCCCTTAAAATTGTTATTTTCACTTTCGTAGAAATGTCCCCTCCACCCTTTTCCTCTTAGATCGGAGGTAATCGCACTTCTCTCCCTGGCGAACGACGCGACGTAACGAGAGGCTGACTGAGCTCTTTAACCTGGTCCACGTCCGGCGGGAACTCCCGAATTTCGTGGGTATTTTCGAAACGAGTCGTCGAGGTCGAGGTTTGTCCTCGCCCTCGGCCGGATTCGTCCGGACAGGTCCCGGGATCGCTTTCAGGGGCGACTCGCCAAAAGACTCTGGGCCCGGCGTCCATTTTGTTTGCGCGGCCGTCCGGCTGGATTGTCCGGCATCGACTCGCTCGTTGATGACAGTATTCAGGAGGATTACGATCGATGGGAAGTACGCAATGATGGACACACGTAGGTACGTGCTTTGGCCGAGCCGATATAAACGTGGCTCAGATGTACGCATAAAGCCATCCGCATTTACTTGCGAGAACGACTGGTGCATGCCGGGTATCCCGGTAGTCATTACTCGGACGTGTGCACGCGTCCGTATATGCCCACCAGACATCTTTAGCCCTCCACTCGCGAGAGGGGGCCAAATTGTTCACAAATGCGCAGTTAAAATTTTACGCTCCCGCCCGTAAGTTACGCTCGCCAAATTACCGGCCGAGTGCCGAGTGCCCGCCTGGAGGTGGAATGCAAACAGCGGTATTTGTTGCGCGAGGATGCGATTGAGAGGTAAATATGCATTTGGCCGCCGACCTGGCCACTCGGTTGGGATAATTTCCCCAGATATTTTCTCTCCAAGGGTGTTTGTCGTGGCTGGGAGATCCGCAATTAAGGTGAAGTGAAACACGTCGAGGAACTTGATCGACGTCGATAAAGAAGATTTTTCTAAATGCCTACGTTGCCGACGTTCGTTTTTATACTGACAGCTGTGTCGAATTATATTGGGTATTGTACCAAATGGCATATTCCACCTGTCGTTTTCCTACAATAATTATGAAGAAATCGAAGTAAAACTCCAGAAATCCTCTGGATTCATGCCTTCTGGGCCCTAATTGAATGCGGAGGGACCTCCTGCGCCATCTGTGATTTCCAGGTCAATTAAATTTTCACTCCGAGACCTCGTATTACCATCGTTTTAGCAAAGAAGCGCATACAACACTTTTTTTGCCTTTATCCCGTTCAAATGCGAGTTTATCGATTACCAGTGTTCTAAATTGTCATAAAATTGTCCTGACCCTTTCGATTCTCATATCGGAGCCTTCGATAATTGTATATTGATCGAAATATGAGAGCTCGACGCCATTTTGGTTCTGGTCTGAACCGAGTTAAAAAATTTGTTTGAAAGATCCAAATTTTTAATGTGTAAGGACAATTCTTAAATGATCAGGAGTGATGTGTCAAAGTTTCGGACAATTTGGTCTAATACCCTTAAAAAAAAGTGTTGTATTCAAATCGACTGATTTGAAGGGGGGTACGATGGATAATGCGGCATATCGAGGAGGACGGAGGTTCTGCGAGCGTTCGGTACATACCGCGCTTTTTAAATTTACTCCGCGGGAGTTAAGGCACTTTTACTCCGGGACGTGGACAAGCAATTTCCGTTAGGGATAATGTATCGTGCCGAAGGAAGGCGATGCCTATTTATTAAATATTAATGCGCTTACGAAATGGCTCTACATTTCGAGCGAGATTGTAATTTAGCAAATGCTGGCCGAGGCCCGCCTGTTTGCCGAGCAGTCGACAAATACGAAAGATGAGATGAAATTAAATTAAATTTAACTTCAGTATTGTGCGGTTTTCGGCGTGTATGTATCATTGCTCGGGTGACCGTCCATATGTACATGAATTTTCCGGGGCCGGTGGGGGGGGGGGGGGGGAAGAGAATGCAAATGGTTCACAACTTTGCCGTGAAAATTTTATGGTTTCACCTTTAATTTATTCCGGGAAATTTTATCGTGGAAGTGGGGCGGATGGCTGAAAATAAAATGCAAATGTAATTGTTTCTCTGCGGGATTGTAATAATTCGGGAGGTGTATGTTGAAAAAAAAATGAAATTTTAGGGCGCTCCGAAATGAAGTGCACGATAGTTGGTCGATTAAAGTGTGCTGCAAAATATTATCCGATATCGTGGATGTATTTCCGTACTTTTTATCGATAATTTCATTTTCTCCAAATTTCGGGGAATCGAATGGCCGATTTTAAGTGAACTGTGCGTAATGCTATTTGTTATCTAGCGATGTACATCAAAGGTGCACGTATATTAATTAAAATGTAGTAACTTGAATTGAATTTTCAATATCGTTTAATTGAGTCGGTAATTTGTCATAATTTGCGAAATCTTCATTGTCCGTGATAATGAGAGCGATATGAAATTACGGAAGAAAAAGATCTGAAAGTTATAAGCACGTGTATTAAGCTTTATGATTTTATCCGCGCGAGTTGCGGTGAAAAATGAGAAAAGTAAAACAGGTAAATGAAGATGGAATGCAAACGTTGTTATTTCTTGCATAGAGATATGATTAAAGAATACATACACGCTGAGGCGAGGGTGCAATTTACCAAACATTGCCTCGCCCGGCGATTTGGCAGCGAGCCAGAATGCAACGGATGAAAAATAAAAAGGAATTAAATTTTTAATACAGTGCGGTCTACTTGTATTATACACAGATGAAGGAATACCGTAGGTAATTCAACGAAACCTAGTCATTATGCATATATACGTACATACATGTACAGTAAAAGTGAACAAAACGTATCATGAGGATTTACTCGTAAACGAAAATCTGAAATGATCTGTTTCCGGAAATGATTGAGAATCACCCCAAAACGAACAAATTGTTAAATAAAAAATTCTATCTTGAAAGAATATTACCTTTTTATAGAGTGGACTGCGTCCTTATTAGTAGTGAAGGAAAACAATTTCTTCATGAAGTAATACACTCAAAGGCACAGGTTATTGCTTCAAATAATGTGCATTCACTTTCCGACATTTACATAAGCGTCGTGAAAATGAATAACCACATTCGGTATAAAACAGGAGACCCGTAAACTTACAAAGAAACAAGTGTCCACCGCCAATCTTATTGATTTTCATATGTTGAAGAACACCAAAACCTAAGAGACAGGTGTTGTAACATTACTGGACAATATTGTGTTTCCACCACCGTCCTTATACAGAATTCGTTTATGCCAAGTTTCGTCGAAATCCCTCCACTGCTTCTACGAAAATTAATATGAAAATCGAATTTTCGCCAAACTTTGGGGGGTTGATTCGCTCCTTAAATGAGGAGCATTGCAGATAAAAAAAAAAAACGTGTTTCTTAGATTTTTATGTTCTTCAACATATATGAAAATCAATAAGATCGGCGGCGGACACTTGGGAATGTTTCCTTATTAGTCGGGCGACTCTCGTGTCTCTCGAAATATTTCGAGATTTCGAGTAACAGAGTGACCTCTGGTGGCGCCTCGGCGAGTTACGACCTCCCGACGTGTTTTATCGACTGCCGGGAAAATTTGAAGCTCGCTTCAACAAATGTTATCATCTACGGTTCAACTTTTCAATTAAGCTCTTTTTCTTCGAAAGAAAGATGCCACTATCCCGTAATTAAAGTTTTCCATTTAAGCCCGGCAAGAGTCTATAAAATCCAACTCCGCGAGATATACGAAATAAAATGTTTCAAACTTGCGCCGAGTATTTGTCATGCCAAAAGTGTTAGTTTTCCCTCTGGGCGGCATCGGAACAGAGTTGGACCATTGAAATAAATCCCCCGCGAGATCCTTCCTAAAGTTTATCACAAATCCCGCCTTTTGACGCACCGCGAAAGAGTCTCAAGTATAATAGATATAATATATTTCATGTATTAACGTAAACAAGATAAGTTTTGTACAAATAGCGTTATATAAAAAATGATGCTTGCTCGACGAAGTTTACTTACATTTACAGGACATTACATTAATCTACGACTCCCGAGATCGTCTCGTCTCGGTTTATCACGAAGTGAGAGTTTCCGCCGAAAGTGAAGAGCGCTAATTCGAAGTACGTCATTCCAAATAGTCGGAAACGTCTTCAAGGATTTGGTAGAACACCGAATAAAAAAAAAAAGAAAAAAAAACGAGAAAGCACTAGTCATATCGATTCTTACTTAGGTACTTAAACTTAAAGGAGTCGTGGGATCGCTGGCGATTCTGATTGAGAATTGTCAACGCAATTGTCAGGATTATCGCTACTGTACACGGAACACCCAGCTCTCGTTTCTTTTATCAACTAAATTTTCACCCCGACGAAAAGCAACATCCAGGGTTACGCGACTTGCTCGCCGCAAGTTATCGGCGTAATTAATAATTAACTTTGTCCGTCCGACAGAAGTGGAGAATTATATCACCCGAAAGGAACGTCCGCTTATATCTTCAGTTAACTTTCAAACGAAATCCGAACACTTGTCCTGGTACTCATATTACATGCTTCTTCATTTGCGTGAGCGTCTCCAGAGAATTGCAGTGAATTTTTTGACATCCATCTTTTACGATCTAGAACTTAATCCTAGAGCTTAAAAGAAGATCCTATCATTTATGTACCTCTGTTTCGTTGCTCTACTAACATGCTAAACGTTCGAATTAGTATCGCTGAAATTTGACATGTTCCAGAAAGTATGACCCCGCCTCGTATGAAGCTGACCTCTTTTAGCGAGATAAACTAAAACTATAATTGAAACATTTCATACGGAGTAATAAAAAGTAATTATTCGGTGACTTAGATACATAAACGACGCTTTTTCATTTGAAACCGTGTAGCCTGGAATTCACGGTGGTTTGGTCATTTAACGCTCGTCTACATTCGCATGAATAATGATTCCGATGTCAATTAATAAACGAAAGATTATTTATTTCAAATTAACACTTTGCATCATACCGAACATTGTGACGCGGCACATTGTGCCATTCGTTTTATTTTCACGATATAAAAAATTGAAACACTTTCCCTATTGTTTTTAAATTATTTCCCTCGGTGGTACACCCCACCTGAATAGTATCAATTCGCGCTCTTTATAAAAGAGCCTCAAGAAAAATACAACATCCTGAGTACAAGTCTTTTTCGATAAGTTTTCGCTTCGAACTTAACCTTAGGTCACGGATTGCGGTCAACAATTGACCAAAGTACTGACTGAGATCTGTGATAGTTGGTAGAACTCGCTTTCATTATTGGGATATTCAACTAAGGAGTAACATAAAAAAAAAAAATAGAAAAACAGAACTCTTCAATATGATATTTCTATAATATACGCAATTGACAGAAGCATCTGAAGACGAGAAATCGTGGATGCATCGAACGCAAGTGATATTAGGAAGTCTCTAACGAAATCTGACACCAGTCTAATAACGATCACATCTCTTCCTCAGCCGTACAGCTTTCTCCTCTTATTAAATGTCCTACTATTAAGAAGCTATTCAGGTCATGAAGATTTGTCGACTCCATGTTCCAGGACACCCCCAAGGTGCCCTGGTTACATCGGAAGAGACCTGGACCCTCTTCACGTAGAGTTAACACGATCCAGCCTTTACGACGTGTGACGTTTTGCTGGATTACTGGATAGTGAAATTCATGGTTAGGACTTTTTACCGTGATGCCGGGATTAATTCCACTCACGGTAACCCAGACTCGAAGGTACAGTACTTTCTGACATTCCCCCCGTATCACTCTTTAACATTAAGCTCACATTTTGCGGCGCAGAACTTCAAGACGACGTATTCGAAAAGCTCACGGATTCACTATAGAACCTAGTCATTCAATAGTCATACACAGCTCGCAGACTCGGATCGATGACAGACCAAGGCATCGAATGCTATCTACGGTAGCTGGTATAACACACCGTCGCCTTCAGGGTAATAGCCGATGGGACGGTAGCCTGATGCCGAAGACGAGACTCCTCGGCATCGCGAAACTTCGCCCTACGATGTCTCCACAGAGTATGCAGAGTGAGGGAAGCTCTGGTGTGGTACGGCACCCAAAGAAGAGCCTTCGCCGACGCGGTGGGTGGGCATAGGTGACACTTGAGAAGTCCACGACGAGAGACCAGCTGAACCAAGTACCGATCGCGCAGCTCTCTCAGCAACGAGCCGGACTTCTTCTTCTCGTTGGAGATGGGCGTCCTCGTGCCAACGGAATCGATGCCACCGGGCTCCAGAAGACTCGACGACTCCTCTTCCAGGTCCTCGAGAAAGTCCTGCGGTGTCACCTTCCTTGGCTTGCGCTGCTTCCTGGACCGCTTTTCATTGCCAGCTATCCTCTTCCTGACCACGTTAATTGCCTCCTGGTCGGCAGGCCTTTTCCTCGAGCCGCTCGGTACCTCGGACTCGACGAATCTCTTCTTAACGACGCTTCCTGGCGCTTCCTGAGGCTTCCTGGTCTCGAGCCTGTCGACTTTGATGGGCCGGGAAGCTATCTGGACCCTCTTCTTGTGTCGGGTTGACACGATCGAGCCGGCCTCGGTTGGCCTCGGCTCGCACTCTCTGCTGCTGGATTTGCAAAATTGACGGTTAGGACCTTTTACCGTGATGCCTGGATTAATCCCGATGATAGTAACCTAGTGCCGCGCGGTACAGCTCAAGGTAAGGTCATCCTCGTAGCACCGAGCACTGGTCGCGTCGCTCGACCGGACGCGTAGCCCGAGCCTTCTACCCGCGAGAGGGGACTTCATAGTTCCTGAGGTACAGCGATGCGGTTTACCATCTCGTGGCTGCAACCACCGCGGCACTGTTTCATATAAGTTATAGGTTTCGCGTCATTCTCTCAGTTGGCGAACCGGTGCACTCGTCCGTGCAAGACTCGACGAGTACACCCTCTCAGATACACACGTACTTCTACACACCGAACAGGCGCCTACGAGACTCGCAGCTGCGACTACTTCGAACCAAGGGATAAATGCCGACCTAGCATCGGGGCCACGGTGAATAACGAAAAACGAAACGTCTTAAACGAGCTGTAAGGGAGAGCTGTCGGATTCGAGCGGCCTGCCAACTGCGTGCAATAACGATAGTTAGATTTCACTTGGTCGGGGTTTTTGCGAGATTTACGGTAAAACATCGTCCGGTGATTTTTAATAACGACCACAATTTTCGACCACAAGCAAGTCGCGAGATTTTACTGCCATTTTAATACTCCACAAACACCGAGTGATGGTATTTCGTGTACGACTAGACTACACAAATTAAAAGAATCAAACTTTATATTGTGCACGTTTGGCTGCTTTACTTTCTACCCAATAGTTTTTTTTTTTTTCCAAAAAGAGTTTACAATTCTAATTACGCGCAAGAGTAGGCGGCCGCTCGAGTATCTCGTATGGAACAAAAACAAAACATCAAATATCTTTTACGTAACAACCTGAAGCGCTAATGAGCACCTACAAACAAAAGAAAATATAACAAGCAGGCACGGCATGATCACACTGATATAAACGAAGAAAATTTACAATCGCAAGATATCTTACCCGAGAATAGTAGTAGGTGGTATCACGGTAGTTGCAGGTGCTATTGCTGGTGCCGGTGCCGGAAATACCGGTGGGCCAGGAGGTGGTCGACCACCTCCAACGGGGCTGCAGAAAACATGTAAAATTTTAATACACTTCTAAAATGACGATTTAACATCCATTAAAACGGTAAGATACTACGTAGAAATATATTCAAGAGGTCGACCAAAGCACTTCTCTCGAATAAACGGTAAAAAATTCTGGCGGTAAAATGAAAAAGAATAGTAGAGGACGTTTAATCCCTTTAAGATCAACGATAGTCACCTCGTTAGGATCGGATCGTCGTTACCTTGAGCTTAAAGGGATTAAGCGGTCCAATTGAGAAATATGAAACGGGGGACGGCTCAACGATCTTGAAAGACATACTGCCTCGTTAAGGGCCAAAGGAAAATTAATTGGGAAAAATGGTGAAACGCCTTACTGTAAAGGTTGCTGGTGACGCGGGTTCGGCGGCGGCGGCGCATTCTGAGGCGAGGACGCCGGGGCGTTTGCGCCGCTCACACGATGCACATGGAGTTGGTGGGCTTGAAGTTGCGCCGCGTCTTCCCCGAGGAAGGAGCACCGCGAGCATTGCCTCCTGTTGTGGACCTTTAGCACGTGCGTAGCGAGGCGTTCCGCTCTCGCTGCTTTGTACTCACAGAGAGCGCAAGCGAAAGGTTTAAGGTGTGTGTTCAAGTGTCGCTTCAGGCACCAATTGTCGACCCCGCTCCACGAGCAGTAACAGCAAGTGTACCTATCCCACGAACAGTCCATGATTATACATTGAAGCACAATGATAGGCGAGGTATAAACATTATGATCCTAAGACGCCGGTTATACCGAGCACATCAAATAGCCGCAATACAACGGTTACACTACGCGCTAAGAAATTCTCCACGGCCATCACAAGCATCGGATCGGAATTCATGCGATGAACTCCTAGATTCATACACTCAACAATACTAAACTAGCAGGACAGAAATAATAAATGAAGAATCGGGAATAAATCACTGTAAATAAATGACCGCGTTATTTTGCAAGCTACTTCATAAATCGCAGTATCCTGCAATTGACATTCGGATTTACATAAAAATCCATATACTCGAAAATGCTAATGTTCCATTCCGATGCAGGTAATGTGCCATTTTATATGATATCCGCCGATCCGAAAGTTCACCTTCTTTCTTGGGCTCCTTTCGAACCACCTTTCAGATGACTTTTGCTGTTACATCCGCCATTCTGTATCCTCCGGCCGCATGCCGCTTCCGGTTGCATGATCCCCGGGGCCGGCATCGCCGTCGGCTGGTACAGTCCTCCTCCGTTTCCGGGACTCTGTTGGATCTGGTATCCCTTGTTATTGTTATACCCCGGCGGATAGGTTGTCTGGTGTGTCGCGTTCGTATTGGCATTGGTGCCAGAACCGGAGTCCTGCGGAAGCGGCTTGGGCGTACCTCCGGATCCGGCAGGCCTTCGTATCCTGGAGAGCTCGTAGCCGTGTTCCCGGTGCATCCTGAGGAAGTGCTTCTTCACGTGATCCGCCCGATTAAAGGGCTTATAGCAGATGTAGCAATGGAAAGGTTTCTCCTCGCGGTGGATGTTCTCGTGCCGCGTATAAAGGTCTCTCCGGTCGGTCCCGTACGGGCAGTAAGGACACGTGTAGCGTTTTCCGCTACCGGAAGCGGCCGCGGAGGACGGCATTGCTGCGGCACTCTGAACAGAAAAATAATAATCGTTAAATATGACATGCCGATCTCTTCGCGTGCATAATTTACTCGGAATTAACTATTTCGAAAAGTTTCAGTGGCCCCAAAAAAACCTATTTCATGGAACGAAGAAATTAATGACTCCTCATTGAAGTCATACTCGCATTAAAAAAAAATAAAATTCTTCGTTCAGTCCATGGTACGGTTTTGGGATTTTTAAAAGAAACGTGTATTATTTGAAAATAAACGATACGCATAATCTGCCATTCTTGGAGGGTTACTAGCGACGTAGTAAATTTATGGTTTATTAATAATTTATGGAATCCCCATTATACTAAAATTAGAAAAGTCGCTCCATCCAACCGTTGCGAGTAACGATTCAATGGTAATTACGAACTTTTAAAAGATATACAGCATAACAAATTTGAACGTTCATATGCTCCGATGCGTCATTCGCGCCTACTACAGAAGACGATATACGCTCAGTGGCGTAACCGACCTAGTCGGCTGTGGAATTATCGCTCCTCCAATATGAATACGGAAAAGTTCTGAGTAATTTGCCATCTATAACGCAGAATAAACAATAGAGATAAAATAAGTACTAGCCTTGAGGTGACAGTTGTCACATGTTTAAACTATCAATTTTTGTTTGCCACTCCGAGCAGAGATTTAAATTTCATATAATAATTTTGCAGATAATCAGAAAATAATTAAGCAGATGTTTCAATGAATTCATAAGAGAGAAGCAGATGATTCATTAATCTTGACCGATCGAAAAGAATTGCTAACGAAGGTAAGATTTTTTGAGGTGACAGTTGTCACATATTTAAACTATCAATTTTTGTTTGCCACTCCGAGCAGAGAATTAAATTGCATTTAATAATTTTGCAGATAATCAGAAGATAATTAAGCAGATGTTTCAATGAATTCATAAGAGAGAAGCAGATGATTCATTAATCTTGACTAATCGAAAAGAATTGCTAACGAAGGTAAGATTTTTTGAGGTGACAGTTGTCACGTGTTTAAACTATCAATTTTTGTTTGCCACTCCGAGCAGAGAATTAAATTTCATTTAATAATTTTGCAGACAATCAGAAAATAATTAAGCAGATGTTTCAATGAATTCATAAGAGAGAAGCAGATGATTCATTAATCTTGACCAATCGAAAAGAATCGCTAACGAAGGTATGATTTTTTATCAATTCGTCCCACCAGCGGGATAAAGCCAAAAACCATGCGAAAGGTTTCTCAAAGAAAGTTCGCGCGCGATCGACCCACCCAACCTTCCGCTTCCGGCTCCCCGCTCGACCGAGTCTACGCCACTGAGCCCATCTCCCTCTGTTTACATCAGCTGACCGAACCATCCGACCATCGAACCGGCGTCGCGTATCGAGCGAGAAGCGCGACAGACGGACCAGGAAGAGCCGACTTGCCGTCCTCGTGGCCGGGGTACGGGGATACCTGGTGCAGGTGCTGCGGAGCCGGGGCCGAGGGCAGCTCCTGGAGCAGGAACGTCGAGGTAGCCGGGAGCAATGCCGCGGGTACCGTCTGCGTCTCTTGCGTGCGACGCGACGGTGGCGCCGCCCTTTCGGCGCGGTCCCTAAGCCTCTCGAGGTAGGCGACCACGTCCTCGATCTTGAGCTCGGTCTGAAGGTAGTCCTTCCGCGGGGAGTGGTGCCGGTTCCTGGCGTCGTCCGCCACGATCCTGGAGGAGTGGAGCTCGACGAAGTGCTCGGCGACGTCGCGCGGTCCTCCGCCCATGCAGTCGCCTGCAATCAAGAGGGGCGACCGACCCCCTCCGGTCATTCTCAGGGGCCTTGACTCACCCACGGGCCGACGCCTCTGGGACGCCCCTGGACGCCTCTGGATGCCTCCAGACGCCTCGGATGCCCTTCGGGCTTCCTCGCCCGTCCGAATACGCCTAACGGCTCGTCCTTTTCCAGGACAATTGAAACTGACCGCACTCGTAGCACCTCCAGGTCGACTTCCCGGCGTGGTACGCGGCTATCCTGCTGCCCTCCGTCCCCTTCAGGGGCTCCTCCTCGCAGGTCCAATTCCCGTCGTCGCTCCCGTCGGTCCCGTTTTCCGTGTCCTCCTCGTTCTTGTACGACACCGAGGTCTCGAACTCGTTCTGCACGCTCGACGCTTCAAAGGAAAACCATTGGGGGTGGGTTAGGTCGTTCGGGGGTTGCGACTCTAATTCTCCGGAGACCGCCACTCGAGCACGATCTCTGGACGCAATCCTAACTGTCTCGAACCCACATAATCATACGTAACGATAATTATCCGCTCCAGCTCCACGTTCCCTGAATTTCACTTTTGGTCGCGATCCCTCCAGGACTTTCTTTTCTCGTTTGAGAAAAAATCGACTCGACAAAATCCCGAAATTCTTCTCGCGGTCGGCATACAGGAGTTAAATGGATTCTCCGTACCCATTGAAACCTACCGGTTGAAAAGTTCCCGGCGCCCGGAGCAGATTAATTACCCGGCGTAATCGCGTTATCGCGCGTCGCGTTATTCCACATTTTACGTCGACAGCCTTCGCGGTGCATCGGATCGGACCGGGTTAGGACGCGCCTCGCCGCCCTCTGTCAACCCCTTTTCACTGTTCCGCGCGCAAGAAGAACCCGGAACACCCCCCGGCCCCTGGGGAGCCCTCGTGGCGAGGGTACTTCGAGCTTCGAGTTCTGAGAGAAAGAGAGAGAGGCGGCAGGGCGGCCAACCCCGAATCCGCGGCTTACTTCGGTGGTCCGGATCCTCCCCGTAGAGTTTCCTGGTGATCTCTTTGAACATGTCTTCGTAGCAGTCGAGTCTGCTTATCCCCGTACCGCTACCCTCCATTTCGGTGGGCCCCGGTTGGCAGCCCTGGCTCGGTCGGGTCCCTCCTCTGCGCCGACTCGTCTACCTGAAAAGGCCCCAGGAACACCAACGGTTAGACTTTCTCGGCCACCCTTCGCTTCCCCCACCGCCCCCTGCGCGGCGAACCGTTGACCTGGCCCCGAATTTCGGACTGGGGCCCCCCATCCCCGCCCCTCCCGCTTTTGGGCCCGAAAATTCCGACTCATGCGCCCGGGGGGGCCACGCCTCCCCCTCGTTGCCGATTACGACCGTCATCCAGGTGACGTAGAACCTGCCGTGGAATCCACGGAAACCTGCATTTCGCCGGAATTTCTATTTCCATGGGCCTCGAAAGGGGCTATTACGAATTACGTTTATCAGCGGCTTCCCTTGGTTTCGATGATGCTTTCGCCTCCGATATCCACCCCTGTCCTTTGACCGTGATTACGGAGATGCGCCGAAGAGACATCATGATGAGTCTTTTAAGGGGAAGTGAAACACGTCGAGGAACTTGATCGACGTCGATAAAGACGATTTTTCTAAATGCCTACGTTGCCGACGTTGGTTTTTATATTGACAGCTGGGTCGAATTATATTGGGTATTGTACCAAATGGCATATTCCACATGTCGTTTTCGTACAATAATTATGAAGAAATCGAAGTAAAACTCCAGAAATCCTCTGGATTCATGCCTTCTGGGTCCTAATTGACTGCGGAGGGACCCCCTGCGCCATCTGTGATTTCCAGGTCAATTAAATTTTCACTCCGAGACCTCGTATTACCATCGTTTTAGCAAAGAAGCGCATACAACACTTTTTTTGCCTTTATCCCGTTCAAATGCGAGTTTATCGATTACCAGAGTGTTCTAAATTGTCGTAAAATTGTCCTGACCCTTTCGATTCTCATATCAGAGCCTTCGATAATTGTATATTGACCAAAATATGAGAGCTCGACGCCATTTTGGTTCTGGTCTGGACCGAGTTAAAAAATTTTTTTGAAAGATCCAAATTTTTAATGTGTCAGGACAATTCTTAGCTGATCAGGAGTGATGTGTCAAAGTTTTGGTGTAAACTGGTATGTCGGCCATTTCGACGCTCGGGTCTCTTTGTTAATTTAAATAACGAAGGTCGCCTTGTATTAGGCTCTATTAAATTTTTATATCCCTGCAAATCTCCGGCGGAGACTTCGCATCGCGTTAAGGGCTTTAAAGTGGCCCGGAGAAAGCTTTCACGTTTCTTAGGGGGATACTTCGTTCGGCGCTGGGATGGCGGGAAACGTGCAAAAAAAGAAGGGGCCCCGTTTCCCCACGGCGGTATGTGCCTTCTCTCCCGTAGGATGCATCCTCGAGTGCGGGGGAAAAAGGACGCGAGAGGGATGAGTACTCTCGTGGGTATGGAGTTGCGCGTCCCGGACACCTTTAACTTTTAAGCGAGAGGGTATATTCTTTTTTTTTTTCGGGATTCATCGTTTTTTACCGAGCCTTTCGGGATAGTTGCTTTTCCGGCGGTGTACGAAACAATATGTGCCAAATAACGACCGCGTTTGCCACTTATCACGCCTCTGACACTTATCGCCATCTCTTTTAGACCACCGTGGGCATCGCTCAAACACCCTTCGTCAACTTCTAAAAAAACTTCACATATTTCGACCGTATTTGATCCTGTGGGCGTATTTAAAAAAAAAACAAAAAATATGTCATATCTAAACCTCCCGACCAAACATTTCCTCTTATCGTGTACTTAGCTCAATTAATTGCCAGACCTTGTGTAATTATGAAAAGGCATGCGTAACAAGTAATTGATAACGTTGTAGAGCAAAGAGCGGGAATTGCACGATTTTGGGGAAAATGACAGTTTCACGATACCTGTGCAATGTCTCCCACGTGCTTCGCGCGAGTTAGCGGAGAAAACAGCTGATCACAGGACCTTTCCAAATATCGTCATTTTGATCGTCGATAATTCTCCCTCTAACTTCAGATTATTCTCCCTGGCTCAAAGGGATGGACATCGAAAGATGTCCCGACATTTTGGCACCGACCCATACGTTCCGGGGGGAGGGAGCGAGTGGGTGGGAAAATGATTCCTCCCGTTTCGCGGGGGGTGCAGCACCCCGGGGTACGTCCTCGGCTCAGCCCTGGGGACACGACGGCGGCAGCGCCGACTTCAAAGTAACGAGGTTCCCGTCCGAATACTAATTTCGGCACAAAGGCACCCGGGACCAGGAGGCGGCCCCCTCCCGTCAGTTCGGTAAACCGCAGTCAGCCCGACGCGGTATGCCGCTCCTCGTGGCGGAACGTTAAAGCGTCGCCGAGGAGCGGAACCGGGACCCCGAAACGGCCGGGCCGGCGCGGAACTGCCGCGGAATTGAATCGCAATTCCCCGAAACTCTCCCCCCGAAGGCGGCCGCGGGTAACGACTTTGCGATTACCTGGGGACGGGCGCGATTAGGGCCAGGTCAACGCGGCCTTCTGCCGTAGACGTCGCCGGGGGTGGCGGACGGTTTGGATCGGTTAAGGGGTGCGGAGAAGCGGATCTTATCCGTTATTAAAGCCCCTTAAGGTGAAGTGAAACACGTCGAGGAACTTGATCAACGTCGATAAAGACGATTTTTCTAAATGCCTACGTTGCCGACGTTCGTTTTTATATCGACAGCTGGGTCGAATTATATTGGGTATTGTACCAAATGGCATACTCCACCTGTCGTTTTCGTACAATAATTATAAAGAAATCGAAGTAAAACTCCAGAAATCCTCTGGATTCATGCTTTCTGGGGCCCTAATTGACTGCAGAGGGACCCCCTGCGCCATCTGTGATTTCCAGGTCAATTAAATTTTCACTCCGAGACCTCGTATTACCATCGTTTTGGCAAAGAAGCGCATACAACACTTTTTTTGCCTTTATCCCGTTCAAATGCGAGTTTATCGATTACCAGAGTGTTCTAAATTGTCGTAAAATTGTCCTGACCCTTTCGATTCTCATATCAGAGCCTTCGATAATTGTATATTGATCAAAATATGAGAGCTCGACGCCATTTTGGTTCTGGTCTGGACTGAGTTAAAAAATTTCTTTGAAAGATCCAAATTTTTAATGTGTCGGGACAACTCTTAGCTGATCAGGAGTGATGTGTCAAAGTTTTGGACAGTTTGGCCTAATACCCTTTAAAAAAGTGTTGTATTCGAATCGACTGATTTGAAGGATGTTTCACTGCACCTTAACAGGGATCGCGGAAATCCTGGACGGAGGGAAGGGCGTCGGTCATCCCAACGAGGGTTGTAAACGCGGAGATTCGCGTACTCGTACCTATGTACACTCTCGCTTCCTATACCACTCGTCCCCGAAACCGATTCGGTAGTTTCCATGAAACAATATTTCAATTTCATACGCGACGACGTCCCACATCATGCGCCCTCGCTCGAGACAATGTGACACATTGAAACGAGAAAGAAAGTCGGTGGGTCGTTCTCGCATCCCCATCCCTTAAATTCATTAATTCCCTCTCCCGAGGCGCATTGTGCATCTAACAGCATCAGTGATCAACGCCACAGGAGCGGTAAACAATGTCTAACCGTATGCGACATATCCCTACAGCCCCAGCTAACGAGTCAACATTGTCCATTCCGTTACCGTGGTAATAATTAACAATCAGCTATCGGTTCGAGGTAGGGGGTGGGGAGGGGAGGGCATCTGCAGCCGCAACGTCCCCGTTGTACCTCTGATCGTCCATAAGACGACGGAAGACGGGGACCGGAAATCGATCGCCAATATGGGAGGCTCCTCGGTCTCGCTCCCTCCAGTGGGAGTCCCCGCGAGGGCGAGAGAGACGGTTAAGGTGAAGTGAAACATCCTTCAAATCAGTCGATTCGAATACAACACTTTTTTTCAAGGGTATTAGGCCAAACTGTCCAAAACTTTGACACATCACTCCTGATCAGCTAAGAATTGTCCCGACACATTAAAAATTTGGATCTTTCAAACAAATTTTTTAACTCGGTCCAGACCAGAACCAAAATGGCGTCGAGGTCTCATATTTTGATCAATATACAATTATCGAAGGCTCTGATATGAGAATCGAAAGGGGCAGGATAATTTTACGAGAATTTAGTGGTCTGGACCGAGTTAAAAAATTTTTTTGAAAGATCGATAAACTCGCATTTGAACGGGATAAAGGCAAAAAAAGTGTTGTATGCGCTTCTTTGCTAAAACGATGGTAATACGAGGTCTCGGAGTGAAAATTTAATTGACCTGGAAATCACAGATGGCGCAGGGGGTCCCTCCGCAGTCAATTAGGGCCCAGAAGGCATGAATCCAGAGGATTTCTGGAGTTTTACTTCGATTTCTTCATAATTATTGTAGGAAAACGACAGGTGGAATATGCCATTTGGTACAATACACAATATATTTCGACACAGCTGTCAATATAAAAACCAACGTCGGCAACGTAGGCATTTAGAAAAATCGTCATTATCGACGTTGATCAAGTTCCTCGACGTGTTTCACTTCACCTTAAGTCGTATGGAAAAGCCATATGGAGAAAATGCGAGGGGAGAACGGGGGGAAGGAAGAAACGGAAGGTAAAGAGGGAATAACCGAGACAGAAGCGTAGCCGCGGACGACGAGAGACGCGAAGAGTGGAAGATAGGGAGCCGAGGAGGACGGAAAGGGAAAGGGTCGCCGAGGGAGGGGGAGGGGTGTATTGATCGCTCGGGCCACGAGGGGTGGCGAGAAAGGGGAACTCCGGTGCGTCAGGCCCGCCGGGGGAGGGGAGGAATAAATCAATACCCCCTCTCCCCGAGCCGCTCTCGCCGGACGGGGGTTGCGCCGATGCGCGCGCATCCCGCCCCGGCTCTCGCCCTTGAGAACCCCTGGCGGTCTTACGCTCCGTACGCCATTCAAATTTATCGGGACGTTATTCGTACCTTTGCCGGGCGCCCATCTCGGCGCCGAATCAAATGCGAGCTGAGTACACTTGTCGAAAAAGTGCATTTATTCGAGGTGTTAGGTTCTCAAGTAAGGTTAGAAGGTGGAGGTTCTCAAAGGACCTCGCGCCACGAGGTATTCAACGTTACTCCTTTCCCCGGGAGATATTTACCTTTTCCTACGAGTTAATCGGATTGCGAAGTAACGAGAAACAGTTACCGGGACGCGCGTCGACTTTCGATAACGCGGCCTGCGAGAGTTATGGGTTTCCTCGTTTACGATTAGGATTAACCCGGGATAGGCTTAGCGCGTCCCTTCCTTCGGGACGATTACTCCACCGTGAGTCATGGCGAGGCACAGGTGGCCTGGCGTTCGAAGGTTCCAAGAGAAAGTACGATGAGGACTTATCAGGAATAATTACTTGACCACGTGTACCCTTGAATACGGCTCGAAAAAAAAAACCGATATCGGAATTCCTCCTATCGATATATGCCACATTTTATGTACATTTAACAGTTTCTGAGCTATTTACCGTTCCTCGATCTCACTGTCACTACCCTCCTGACGACTCGGCATATCACTAGTCCTCGGTCACGTGCCTCGTCGAAAATAAAAAAAAAATAAAGGAAAACTACGTTAGGAGTTACGAGACGAACGAGACACCGTGTTAATCATCGTTGGAAACATCCCCCGGTGCGCGAGGAATGATGGAGTTCGAAATTCCTGGTCTCAACGATGCACGTGGAATTAACACTGCACCAAATCCCAGATAATGAACGGTGATAAACATCGACGACATCGTGACGCGAGCGGTACACCCCATAGAAATGTTACCCGCCGTAGATAAGGTAAATCTACCCCGACAATAAAGATGCCTCGGTTAAAAGTTTGACCCACGTGTGGCCCAACCCCGGTCCTCCCTTCTCTCTTTATCTCTACGCGTACCTCAATGGCCATCTCTCTCCAATCGCAAGCGGCGACTCGGTCGCGCTCGCCGCTCCAGCAAGGGCCGCACGTCTCGGTGACCGTCGGGGCGATGCGCGCGCAGCGCCGCCAGGCGGCGCCCGTTGAGAACCTCTGTCCCGCCTCCCATGCGCCATTCAAATTCGTCCGGAAATTATAGCCGCGGTAGAGCCCAAGGACGCCGAGAGCAGCAGGCCCGGCATAACCGTAAACCCGGGATCCTCCCCTCCCCGTTGTCTCTCTCCCTCTCAGGTCTCGCTCTCTCGCCCACTCGGCGGCGGCGCGCGCACGCACGCGGCGTCTCTCTCTCTCGCGCTCCCAGGGGCACCCACGCGTAGTAACGCGCTCGCTCGGCGGTCCTCCGTTCCGTCTATATCCCGCGTCCTCCTCTCTAGATACTTTTTCCCCGCGGAGAGACTCGATCCGCAAGCGCGCCACGGAGCGGCGCTGCGGCGCTTCCGAATTAACCCCGCAACGCGCGCGCAAGAGAGAGGAAGAGGCAGAGCTAGAGAGAGAGAGAGAGAGAGAGAGAGAGAGGAAGAGAGAGTTCGGCTCAGGGCGCGCTGTCGGCCCGCCCGCCCACTAGGGCGCCCCTCGCCGCGGACTCTGGAACTCGGGCGCGTCCACGCACCGGCACGCACGAACACGCCCGAGCGCGCCCGCCACCCCACGCCGCCGCGCCGTCGGGCACGGACCAACGGGCATGAGAGAGGCGCCGAGAACCCGGAGAAACGAGACGCGGGGCCCTCGAGGACGCGGCGACCTCGAGGAAGAGGTCGGCACGACGCGCGTCGCGGCGCGGCGCGGCGGGGCCGGGCGCGCGTTCACTAGGTGGCGTGTCAGTACTCACCCGGACGGCGGCGACGTCGGCGTCGGAAGAGCGCGAGCCTTTTCCACCGGGGAACGTTATGCTGGCTTCGGTTGCAGGTTGTTTCCTCGGCGGCAGTCGGGTGGCGAGTGGGTGGGCAGGCGGGGTGGCCCGGTGGGTGGGTGGGCGAGAGCGTGTGGGTGGAGTGGGGTGAGGGGTCCCGATACCACCCCCTCGCCCATTCAATCCCGCGCCATCGGGGGAGTCGGCTCTTTGTGTGCCGGGATCGGTCGCTCCGTCCCCTCCCCCCTCCTCCCTCCCCCTCTCCCCTGCCGCCGGCTCCCCCTCTGTCTCTCTCCCTCGCTCCGCCGACGCCGGGACGCGCGCTCCCTCGCTCCCGTCGAGCCGCCCTCCGCGCCTCTCCCTCGCGCTCACGGACAGGCGCGCACCCCGCCCCACCCCCTCCCCGCCCGCGCTCCCTACGCGCGCGCGGGCGCTGCGTGTGCGGTGCGTGAGCGGCCGGCCGCGTGTGGGCGCGCCGAGCTCCGCCGGCCCACGCCCGCATCCGTGTGCGGCCGAGCCGGCCGAGACCCGAGCGAGACCGCCGGACTGAGAGAGGTGCCCCGGTGGTGCCGGTTAAATCCTAGGCGCGGGCTAGGCCGACGCTTACTCGCGTACGAGGCGGCCAGCCTTCGATTCTCTTGACGGGCACTCGACGAATGCGAAATAAGCGGTGTCCCTTGCCGATGAATATTCCATTCCCGGTGTACAGACATCGACGTCGCCGTGCGCACCGGACGGCTACGTCTTGCGGATATGCCGTAGAACCGTTATGCAATAAATTGTAAAAATGTGGATTTACGTTAAGGTGAAGTGAAACATCCTTCAAATCAGTCGATTCGAAAATAACAATTTTTTTTAAGGGTATTAGGACAAACTGTCCAAAACTTTGACACATCACTCCTGATCAGCTAAGAATTGTCCTGACACATTCAAAATTTGGATCTTTCAAAAAATTTTTTAACTCGGTCCAGACCAGAACCAAAATGGCGTCGAGCTCTCATATTTTGATCAATATACAATTATCGAAGGCTCTGATGTGAGAATCGAAAGGGTCAGGACAATTTTACGACAATTTAGAACACTCTGGTAATCGATAAACTCGCATTTGAACGGGATAAAGGCAAAAAAAGTGTTGTATGCGCTTCTTTGCTAAAACGATGGTAATACGAGGTCTCGGAGTGAAAATTTAATTGACCTGGAAATCACAGATGGCGCAGGGGGTCCCTCCGCAGTCAATTAGGGCCCAGAAGGCATGAATCCAGAGGATTTCTGGAGTTTTACTTCGATTTCTTCATAATTATTGTACGCAAACGACAGGTGGAATATGCCATTTGGTACAATACACAATATAATTCGACACAGCTGTCAATATAAAAACCAACGTCGGCAACGTAGGCATTTAGAAAAATCGTCTATATCGACGTTGATCAAGTTCCTCGACGTGTTTCACTTCACCTTAAACCGTGGTGGAGATCACTGGAATTACTCTCGCAATGTCTAGAACGAATTTACTTCCTACCGAGTGGCATTGTTTATCGTATGAAATCAAAGACAGTGGATTCAGAATGAAGGATATCGTTTTCACCGATTTCCATGTTGGGGAAGCTCTTGATATGCGTACTTCGATCAGGTGGAGCGGGTGGTTTATTTATATTTGTCGTCGCAGGGTGAACACCCTGAGCGGTTTTTAACCAAATCGGTTTCGTTCGAAGAAGTTGGCAATCCCTTTCACTGCCGACGCACAATGCCTGGCGCCCTTCTAACGACCGCCCCCCACCCCGTGGGTGAACCTCCTGCTTCAAAATGAAAGAGGGTGCATCCCGAGTATCACGGGGTGGGGGAGACTCGAGTACTCTCGAAAAAATGGTAGGCAGAATGGTATATTCCGTGCGATTACGCGATGCAGATTGTAGATCTCCTCGTAGGACTTTTCGGTGCAACTCGTCCTACGTTTCGATTCGATAAGGTCCCGGTTTCGAGTCCATTGCACTTGAAGTATACTTTAAGTATTTGCAGACAAAAGGTCAAAACCGCGCAGTACTAGGAACTGCTAACATGTAACGTAACATGGTCTGAAAATGATTAGGATAACTTTTTTCATGAGACTCTTACTCGTGACACATTCGTATATAACATATCAATAATTCAACCGTTTTGCCCATTAATTAGTCGAAGTCGCTTTTGAGAGAGTAATTCCCTTTATACAAAATGCCACTACAATTATGATATAACCGTAACATGTTACCGATGCATTTGTCGTTAATAGATTTTTATTGCGGTACTTGGGATTTTCTAAATTTCATCGCTTATGCCCCTGGTTAGTCTAACTTGCCTCCTGGCGTTGCAGGTAAGTCGATCCAATAATTATGGGATCTCGGAAATAAATGATATATTCACCATTTTGAACGTCGGTCCTCCAGTGGTACTTCCGGCGTTGTTACGGAACACGTTACAACGTCTCGTTTCCGTTGTCGAGCGTTTCCGAGAGGGCGGGATTTACGGTGGACCTCGTGGTGGGTTCGACACCGCGCGTTTACATTTTTGTCCTCGCGTTTACACCGGAAATGATTTACTGCATAGCGAAGGAGTGTAAGGATGCGAGGATAAAATGCGGGGCGTTGTACCGGCGACTGGCGTCGGCAGGCGGAGGTAGGCGGAGGTAGGCGGCTGCCTAGGCGAGGGCCCTCTGCGGCCTTCAACTCCGAGCCCGGCTTCCTACAGGCTGGTGCACTCTTACCAACCACTGCTTTCCCATCGGACCTACCACCGCCCGCCCAAAAAGGGGTGCATTTCGACCCTCCGAGGGAAAGGGGGGCCCGGGCGCCCCCAGGTTCGGAACCAGGACGACGCTGACTCGCCCAAGGCCGGAAGAGGATCTCGGCTTCCGTTGAAAGCGGATTTATCCTCAAAGACGCGGATGTTACCTCGCAGTAATCGTATCAGATTTACAGAGTGGGCACGATTTCGGGCACTAGGGGTAAAACCGCGCCACGCAGAGGACGACGGTCCAGGAGGCGGAGAAGAGCGACGCATATCTTTTGCTCTTCAATATTACCCACAAACCAGCTTAATTTATTTCCTCGAGTCAGTAACATACGAGCTACGATCTGATTATATGTGCCCATAATTATGAAAGTGGTCCAAGTCAAAATTAAAAAAAAAAAAATGAGTTTATCAGTTATTTCACGCCATATTATCTCAAACGAAATTAATTCAATGTAATTTCGAAACAAAAAATATATGACAGACCACTTTCATAATTATGGGCACATATTTCCATTCTGTGCGCCGTGGCATTGTCTGGAAATTTAGAATTATTGTTTTCGTTATATGGGCTTGTACATCTGTGCATCTAAATCACTGTTTCTGTTGCTATATTAACCCAGTTATGTCTAATATGATTTTCATTCGTTTGCATTCATATATTTTTTTTTTTCTGATTTTCCATGCGCGAGTCATTTCTCCGATTTAAATATTCAATAAATACTGACTAGCGTTATTTTTGGAAATAAACATTAGAACTAAATGTTGTGATAATAGATACTTAAACCTCGTAACGCTAGTGATGTACTATAATAGGATTGCAGTACATATTAGTAGTAATATGCATTATGATTTTTTACCGTATCACTTTTTGACACGATACGGTGAATACTAGATCTCCTACAGAGATTTCTCTGGAAAAGGTGTAAAGTTCGGCGTTGTAACGATGCGAGAAACTGGAGACCATGAGGAAAAGGATACGGTGGATCGAGGAGGTAGAGCGGTCCGCGTCTTTTCCGCGACGCGTTGGAAAGGAGAGACTGGCCGAACGGGCTACGATAGGCGGTGATAAGCGGCGATAGGCCGTGTAGCCTAAGCAAAGGCTTTTCGCGGCCTTCGCCGCAATGCCTCGTCCGCTTCTCCGGCTGCTAGACCCGCACTAACGACCACTCCCCTCCAGGCAGACCTTCGCAACGAGACGCATACCCTCCGGCTGGAAGAGGGTGCATCCCGGATTTATGGGGGAAAAGGAGCCCGGACGCCTCTCGGAAACGGGAAGTCGTCTCCCAGACTGCCGAACCATAGAAACCGCTGGGACTCGGCGAGCGGGGATCTGTTCCGGATGCGGAATTGACGTTGTTCGGCATTACCTTCCGCCGAGAGGAGACCCTCGCTCGTTACATGGGATGCACGAATGGCGCAACGAGTTCGGGGTGCTAAATTGCGGCTACGTATAGAATATGGCCGCCAGGGAGGCGTCGGTGGGCGACACTCTGGCTTGGAATCCGTTATGGATGCGGAATCTCCGTCACGGCATGAGGCTTCCCACTAGGACGGGTCTCTTGCAACTTCCTCGGTGAAAGATGCAAGAGTTGCCCTCGCGGGGTGCAGGTGGACGATATCAAGGGAGTCTTAAGGTGAAGTGAAACACGTCGAGGAACTTGATCAACGTCGATAAAGACGATTCTTCTAAATGCCTACGTTGCCGACGTTGGTTTTTATATTGACAGCTGGGTCGAATTATATTGGGTATTGTACCAAATGGCATATTCCACCTGTCGTTTTCGTACAATAATTATGAAGAAATCGAAGTAAAACTCCAGAAATCCTCTGGATTCATGCTTTCTGAAGCCCTAATTGACTGCGGAGGGACCCCCTGCGCCATCTGTGATTTCCAGGTCAATTAAATTTTCACTCCGAGACCTCGTATTACCATCGTTTTAGCAAAGAAGCGCATACAACACTTTTTTTGCCTTTATCCCGTTCAAATGCGAGTTTATCGATTACCAGAGTGTTCTAAATTGTCGTAAATTGTCCTGACCCTTTCGATTCTCATATCAGAGCCTTCGATAATTGTATATTGATCAAAATATGAGAGCTCGACGCCATTTTGGTTCTGGTCTGGACCGAGTTAAAAAATTTCTTTGAAAGATCCAAATTTTTAATGTGTCAGGACAATTCTTAGCTGATCAGGAGTGGTGTCAAAGTTTAGGACAGTTTGGCCTAATACCTTTAAAAAAAAGTGTTGTATTCGAATTGACTGATTTGAAGGATGTTTCACTTCA